TGCCAATACATCTTGTAAAAATACAGTTTATGACATTTTATATGGAAACGTAACTTCAAAAGCAATGGAATATGGAAAAATAAAGGAAGATGAAGCAAGACAAACATTTGAAACAATGACAAAATTAAAAGTTAAAAGTTGTGGTTTATTTATCGATAAAGATATTCCATACTTGGCTGCTAGTCCTGGTAAATATAATTAAAACAATTAACACAGTTATCTATTTATACAATTTTAATGTCCTTTTTTCAGATGGCTTAATAATTGGTGAAAATGCTATAATCGAAATAAAGTGTCCATATTCTGTAAAAGACTATTTACACATTCGAGACGCTATTGTAGATAAAAAGGTATACCTATGCTTAAATCAGAAATCATAATACATATTTAACTATTTAAGTACTTCGAAATACTATAAAATATATTAACAGCCCTTATTTTTTTTATTATAAAAATATTTTAGATCCAATACTTGTATTTAGAAAATAATGACATTAAATTAAAAACTCAAAGCTTATACTATTTCCAAGTACAAGGTCAGCTAAGAATAACAAATACAAATTTATGTTATTTTGTCATTCACTCTGAATCATGGACTCATATATTAAATATCGAATATGATGAATTTTTTGGAATAATAAAATGGAAAACCAGCTAAAATTGTAAGTACCTTTATATATCATAATAATAATTTTATATGAGTTAAGTAACAATTAAACAATTACATATGTTTAAACTGCTTATAAAATTATTTTCTCAGGTTTTATTTAGATTGTCTTCTTCCGGAAATTATTGATCCCAAATTTGGAAAAAGATTGTTAAAATCAGATATATCTGAACCTAAGAGAATTCAAGATGAGCTGAATAAAAAAAACGAAAAATAAATAAGTTATGTTTACTATTTTGTAAAATGTTTATAGTCATGTCCAGTGTAGGTACATATACCAAAGGTACACTCGTATACTAAATATAATATAATATAAAATATTTATATATATTTATAATAAATAGGTAGGTACCTAATTGAATACAAATTAAGTTATTAAAAATTGGCATTGGTTATTTTTTTATAATATAATTTATGAATTTTTTAAATGATTTAGTATTATTTAAAATGTTATTTATAATATATTTCATTAAATTACCTTCCTAATACGCTCAACATTCTATTTTATTTCCACTAGGTAATGAAAATTTTTGAGAAACCTTATTTATTTATCAATAATAATTTTTTAAAAAACTAATAAAAATCGAAATATTCTAATGCCTATAAATAGCTTAAAAAGAGTCAAAATATATTATTGTTCATTTTTATATTTTTACAGACTGAGTACCTTCCCTCTCCGTAATTCAACGCTATTGTCCATCAAAAAAATTACCTATTGTACATATGTTTGTATAGATTGTAATTATTCTTTTAATAAAAAAAAAAAAATATTTTTACGTAGGTACCTATGGTAATTGAAGGGTCCGGTGCAACAACAAGGTATAACACCGTAGAGTGTAACCACAGGTACAATAATTACAGTTGATTATATTATGTATAAATTTATAATAAAATAAAATATATAATAGGTATGTAAGTAAATAAAAAGTAAGACTATAAAAATATTCCTTTGGTTGTGTTTAAATATTCGTCAAAATCAAATATTCGGCGTAAAATATTTTTAATGAGAAAAGTAAAAAAGTTTGTAGAACGATTTAAGCTATGGTAAAAAATATATTTTGTATGGTGTATATTATAATGGTGTATGCAATTAACTTTTAGCGTATATTGTCATATTTTATATTATATTATATATTATTATACTATTTTATATTTTTTTTTGGAATAATGAATTTAACCTACTGTAGTAAATACTAATGACAATACAAAATTACATAACTAATATTTAGATATTTCGGTTACTGTTATAAATTAGATAATATTTGTATATATTTTGTATAGAGTAAGTATCTAAAAATAGAATATATACAGGTCTCGTAAGTACGCGCGAATATTAAAAAAAATTACGGCGGAAATGTACGTGTAACGTGTATACATTTTATATTTACGCTATCCGCCAGAGACGAAGGTTGAGAAAATAATAAACGTCGCTCCGAAAGAGCACAATCGTCGGCCGGTCGCCGACGACGAGTGTGGGCGCGGCTTGAACGTCGCGTGCTTGCGCATCGCGAAAACACCTAACAGCGCGTTCTCTCGGTCGTTGAATACGTTTTACTTTATGTGTAGCGTCCTCTTAAGCGGCCCCTAGACGATCAATAATATTGTCAATAATATTGACGAGTTAGATTGACACCAGCGTCAATGTACTTCAATCAGCACGTCAAACACAGCCGTCAATACTCATTCGATTCTGGATTTCAAAGTATTCGTGTCGTGTTCGGAGTGTTAATTTAAATATTTTGAAATGGTTTCCAATACTGATATGGGGTTTCTAGCTGTGACTTTGGCAATATTCAAATTGAGAAAACAAAAAAAGAAAAGAACTAGACGCTGGTCAAAAGAGTGGTTTAAGCTGCGAAGTCGTTTTACTCATGAAAATTTGCTAAACGTTCTTCGAGATACAGAACCAGAAGATTACAAAAATTTTCTTCGAATGGACCAAGAAGGGTTTGAAACTTTACTTGAGCTAGTTAGGCCCAAAATAGAAAAACAAGACACTATTATGCGTAAAGCAATCCCTGCAAGTCAGAGACTTTCTGTGACATTAAGATATCTAGCGTCTGGCATGGATTTGGAAGATTTGAAGTTTATGTGTGCTATTGCCCCTCAGACTTTGGAAGGCATCATAATGGAAACCTCTGATGCAATAATCGAAACATTAAAAGATAATATACAGGTATGTATGTACTTATTTTATTTTTGAGGTTATCAAGCAAAAATCAAAACCTTTTTCATTTTAAAATATAAAAACAACTTTTACAATATTAAAATCATTATTAACATATTATAATCATTATGAAGTATAAAAACAACTTGAATAAAATCAAAACCTTTTTCATTTTAAAATATAAAAACAACTTTTACAATATTAAAATCATTATTAACATATTATAATCATTATGAAGTATAAAAACAACTTGAATAAAATCAAAACCTTTTTCGTTTTAAAATATAAAAACAACTTTTACAATATTTAAATTATTATTTACTATAAAAAATACAACTTGAATTACATCAAAACCTTTTTTATTTCAAAATATAAAAACTAAAAAACTATTGTTTGTTAACTTAAAACGAAGAAAATCTTGACAAGTAACTTGCCACATTTTCCTCTTGAACGGTATCTTCAGAGTTTTGGATTGGAGTATAATTTACTGGAGAAACATAGTGATTAGGAGTGATGCGTGTAATCGGAGGAGAGCTAGGTCTTGAATAAAGTAAAGATGTAGGTGATGGAGATGATGATACACAGCTTGACGAATAGTAGGGGGATCTAATGTTCGTAGTTGTCTGGGACGACGAAGGTGTCAATACAGATTGTGAAGACGTTAAGAAAACCACTCCATGCCTCGTTAATGTGCCCATTTCTGCTTCAAACAAAGTATCATTAATTATTTTTTCCGCAAAACACCTTTGATCTGAATTCAGTCTGGTTAACTTTAGAGACCATCCCTTAGCTATGAAGTCCGATTCAGTTTCAGATTTTTTAAAATATTGTGTAGCTAAACCAACTAGCTCCTCTGTTGAATCCTTTGAAGATGGTTTTTTTTTCTTTGGTGGTAGAGGGATTGGCTGGTCAGTAGACAGTGTCTGTAAGTCTTCACTCAAATTATGCTAAAAAAAAAAAATGATTTTTTTTTACTCAGGTACCAAAAACTGAAGTGGGTTGGAAACAACTAGCTGAGAATTTTGAAGAACTTTGGAACTTTCACAATTGCATTGGTAGTGTAGATGGCAAACATATATTGATTAAAAAACCACCCAATTCTGGTTCTTATTACTACAACTACAAAAGTACTTTCAGTATTGTTCTCATGGCTATTGTCAATGCGAAATATCAGTTTATCATGGTAGATGTTGGAGCGAATGGACGAATATCTGATGGTGGAGTTCTGAAAAACACGATATTTTGGCAAAAGTTGTCTCAGAACCAATTAAACATTCCTAATGCACGTGAATTACCCGGCTCAAATAAAACGTTTCCTTACGTGTTTGTCGGTGACGAAGCTTTCCAACTTCAGCCAAATTTCATGAAACCTTACAACAGAGCAGTACTCACGGATGAAAAACGGATTTTTAATTATAGATTGTCCCGAGCACGCAGGATTGTTGAAAATGCGTTTGGAATTTTAACATCGAGGTTCAAAATATTCCAAAAAAATATTAATTTTGAACCACACAAGGCTAGGAAAATAGTGATGGCTTGCTGTCATTTACACAACTACTTGTCAACAAGAAATAATGGATATTATTTGCAACGTGGTGATGTTGATTACGAAAACAAAGATACTGGCAGAGTAGAAGAAGGTTCATGGAGACAAGGAACTCAGCACGTGGCAGAACTTCAAAGAACTAGAGGAAATTCAGCGGCTGAAGCAAAAAAAAATAAGAGATGATTTTTGCGAGTATTTCAACTCTTCTGGCTCAGTTCCGTGGCAAAACAATTATTTGACTTAGAACCATATAGGTACCTCTGTATTATTTGTTAAATTTAGCAGGTATATTGTATAAGTCATTATTAAATATTATGTTATTATTATTATATTATGTATTATTATTATTAAATATTATATATTATTATTATTATTATTATTATAATATTATGTAATATTATATATTAGGTAGGAAAAAAAATTCGAAATTAAGTAAATGGAAATTAAATACAATATGTAAACAATAATGGTAAAAATAATCAATAATCCAACTGTGTCATGTGTGTAAAATAAAATAAAGCTTATCGCAACAAAACAACGACTGCCCATCGAATATGCCATGCGTGGATTGTTTATCATACCAGTTTCATTTATAGAAATAGTGAGGTCGTAAAATATAATTATACACATAAATAAATAAAATATATTTGATGTTTACTAACCTCGGAAGATTGAGTTTCTGCTATCTCGACTTGGTCCTTGATAAACAGCAGTTCGTTGTAATACCATACGTTGGGTTCTGGAATATCGTCCACTGATGCACCTGACCGTTTCTTATTTTCAATCGCCTTGTAGCATTTGTTAAAATTAGTGCGCAATATATTAATTTTTTGTTTTAATTTCTCTACTGTGAAATCAGATTTATACGGCTTCAAAGTGTCCACAATTGTTTGGAGTGCTTTAGCTTTTTTATTTTTATTGAAATAATCTTTTGATCTCAATTGCCATAGTTCAGGATGATCACGATATAAAGTTATCAAAAGTGTTAAAAACTCACGCTCACCACCCGATTCGTCGCCAAGCGGTGTCGATAGTTCCGCCATGCTGTCTGACTGATAAATGATAACAATTTCGGAAATATTGACAATAAACGCTTCTAGACGTTCAATACGTCCTGTCAATCTTGCCCGTCAATGAGCATCAATCAAAATTTCTATCAATCTCTCTCAATGATTGACAATCCATATCAATATCCTTCTAAACGATCAATACTTGCTTCAATATGGTTCCGTCAATATTATTGATACAAATATTGACAATATTATTGATCGTCTAGGGGCCGCTTTAAATAATCCAGTGAGGTGTGTAAATTATATAATTAAGTATATTTGTATCTTATGACTTTGTAGTAGGCATATAAAAATAAAATGGTCATTCCTGTTTTATAGGGTTGTGTATCATAAGTATTGGTTATGTCAACATAGCCAAAGTAATAAAGTAAATCATCCAAATGTAGAAGAATTACCTTCAAGAAACACCCAGTGTGAAGCTAAAATTAATATTTTGATAAAAAAAAATAACAGGAGTACTAGGAAAAATGATATATTTCTAAAAAAGAATCCACCATTATGTAGAAAAATAACAATAATGAACAACCATAATCATACAATCAATACAAGTGGTTCATTAAAATATTTACGTATTAATTCAGAAGTAAGTAGTATTATATTTCTAAAATAGGAATGTGAAAATATAGAGGGATACAACTTATGAGCCACATTACGAAAATTTGGGGAAATATAATAGATGGGATTGTAAGAAATGAGCAAAGCTGGTCACTAACTAGTTAGTGTTTTAATTCATTTTAATTAACTTTGTAACTTAACTAGTTGAATTTAATATGTAAAATAATCTAATCTAAATATTGTTAAAAATATTAAGTAAATAGATTTTTTTTGTAGTTTTTGTAGTTTAATTTATTGAATTTTTTAATTTATTAATTTGTTAAATTTTCTATATTCTAATGACTGATATTCCAAGAAATTAAGATTATTAACTACCTATTTGATATATATGATCAAATTATCAGTTGTCAGTTCTTCAATTTAATTTTTCAATTATCATCAATAATTCAAGTTAGTTACCTACCTACATGGCTACATACTTAATAATTAATTAATGTAATATATTACATTTGAAAAAAATGGCTTTTTAAATTTATCGAACTAAATAAAAAACTAACTTCTAACCTTTTTATATTAAAGTAACTTAATTTTAACTAGTTAAAAACTTGCTTGAAACTTGCTAAAAACTAAGTATCCCAGCTTTGGAAAAATGAGACAGTTGTTACTACTTACTAGATACCTATCATTCAGGTTGGGTCTATAATGAAGGAACAAATATTTTGTGTAAAACAGAAAGTAGAGAAGCACAGAGAAATAAACAGGAAATTGTTTATGGTACCTACTTATTTATTGATCTAGATTAGGTTTATGATATGGGTTTTTAAGCAGGCATTAATGAATAAAATATTACCAAAGGTGTGTGTAAACATATTTGGAGTTGTTGTACCTATGGGGGTTATCTATATATAGATTAATGTTTATTTACCTAATTATTGTTATGTTCATAGTAATAGGTATACTATATTTTATTTTATTGGTATTAAAATGCATTGGTTTATGAATATTTGTATAGTACCTATATTTGTAAACATTTAACACATCCACAAAATAATATTTAGTGTAAAGATTAATTAATGCTTTATGCTGTTAATAATATCTAATTTAAGTACAAAATAAAAATATATTATACAATATTCATGGTTATAATATTTATTTTTAAAATAAGTTTTCTCAATCTCTCCAATACTCTATTTAAATCTTTTATAAATACTATCATAAAAATATTGTGTTATGGCGTATGGTAGTAATTACTTGTGGTAATAATATAATATTTATAATAATAATTAGTATAATAATAAAATAATATATTTCTTATTTATTACATAGGTTATTACCTACTATGTAAATGGTAACAAATAAAATAAAGTTATTTTTTTTATACCTACCTATGTAGTATTATTATCTCTAACTTGTATAATATAACAAAATTATGGATGGGGGGATTAAAATAAAATTAACACTAAGTAATACCATTGATTTTATACTATAGGTATAGTACTATAATATAGTAAAATTATAGCATATTATAAAATTGATGGTAAATGGTAATACTAATTATAAGTAATAATTATACAGTTTTTTTGTGATGCTATTCATTTTAGAAATTTAACTGTTGATAAAATAAATGATAAATTATTGTATTACAGCTAGTGTAATTATTATATGGCACATTATATGATTTTGAGTACTTTTTGATACTAATATATTTAAACATGTAGATTGCCAATGTTGGTTATTACATAATATCATTTTTGAACTGAAAAGTCTCGATGATGATATATGAAAATTTGAGTCATTTTAGCATATGTATAACTGTAAACAATAATCCAAAATACATTTTCCTGTGATAAAACTATAGACTATTAATAACTAAAATTAATGTTAAAAAGATATTTCTAAACTATCAAGTTGGCACTTTTGGTTTTAACCTCATAATTTATTAACTAGGTACAATTATTCAATATTTTAAAGGTAGCTAGTTGATAGATACATAATTATTCTACATTAATTTTAGACTGAGCAAACATTTATGCAATATTTTGATGATGGAATAGGACCAAATGAAGCTTGTAGATTTCATGAAAATCAAATAATGAAAAACAAAAGTCCATTAAAATTACTTGCCAATGGATCTGTTAATCTAATTAACAATACTGTGTACCATCTACACAATGTTTGGAGAAACCTAAATTTTGGCACCGTAGATGCTCCTTTGGATAAGTTAAAAGAAAAAATTGAATTGTATAATTCACAAGGTAAATTCATAATTGTGTATAACTATATTATAAGATATTGATAATATCATGTATAAAGATCATAATATGATTATAAAATCTAGTAGCACAATGTAGGTACCTAACAGTGGCGTATTTACGGGGGTGGGGTTCATGGGGTCCGGACCCCTCCCATTGACTCGTGTCTCGTACATGTTAAATGTTGTGCAGTTTTTACATGATTAAAAAACAAATTTTATCATACGATTTTACGGACTGTATAAAAAATTTTCGAAGCTATAGTTATATCAACATTTTCAATAAATATCGTGATTATTTTTATCAGTTGGGTACCGAAAATGGTTGAAAAATACCAAATTCATTTTTTAATTCAAATATTTTGTAGTTTTGTACATTGCCAGTATCTACAACCACTCCAGAGAGATCTTTTTCAAACTTTAAAGGTTGAAAAGCCATCTAAGATCAACTATGAATGAAGTAGGTACCTAATGTAATTAAGGAAATATTTGTATAAAAGTTATAACATATAACTATATATTCGATTCTGAGGGATAATTTGGTTCTACAATGGTGTTTATTTTTTTTTCCTGTATACAAAATTTCTTCCAGAAGGAGTGCTTCGATTTCAACATGTATAGACATATAGTAACTTATCTTTTAGAAAATTGGATCAAGATAGTACTTTAGAGAGGTCATTTTTCGATTTTCTCAATTGTTATTTAATGCCACTGTAAAAACCACCAAAAAATTTCGAAAAACCGCTAAAAATGGGATTTTAATTTCTAACACTTTGTCTATCACCATAGAAAAAAATAAAAAATAAAAGTATTTCATTATTAATTCAACTTGCAGGCTATAATAAATAATAACAATATAAAATATCCAGACTGACAAACCGTCTTTGCTCAGAATCGTTTTTCTTATACAATGATATTATGATATTATATCATTGAGTTCAAGTTTAATACAATCCATTATACATTGACCCACTTGTTACTTGTAACCTACTGTACAGCAGCAGAGTGACGTCCACTCACCCGCTTTTTTTTAAATTTGTTTTGTACATATTATTATTTAATAATTAAAAACTCGACAATTTTATATCGCCTTATAAATATGGTATATTTTATTTAATAAAGAGTAAATGGGTGGTGTGGGGGGCTTCGTCCCCCGTGGCTCTGTGTTCTGAAAATTATCTGGACCCTCCCCATGACAAATTCCTAAATACGCCACTGGTACCTAATAAGTATTAAGTAATAAGCATTACAGTTATAATACTCAAATTCTAATAATTGTATAGTGTTTAAATACATATTAAAGCATACAATATTACTTATTAGCATTTTTCATTGTTGAATTAATACAAATCTGAAAATACACACCCAACTCAAAAGTATTAATTTGACAAATGAATCATTAAATATACATTTTTATGAATATACATGATTAAATAATATTTATAATTGTTTATTAGGAATTTCTGTAAATATACTTGAGGAAAAGTCTAATTGGGCTGTTCTTGTTTCAACATCAGTAATGAAGAGAGCTCAAATGTTGAGTTCTTCAAAAGAAGTAATATTTTGTGACAGTAGTAGTAGTTGTGATATTTTGAAAACTATTATCACTATTTTATTGACAGTAACTAAAGCTGGGGCAGTACCAATAGCACTATTATTACATCCTGGACAATCTACTGAAAGTTACAAAACAGCTTTTGGTTTTTTAAAGTTAATATACCCAAAATGTTTTGGAAATATTGATGTAAATTTATTTTGTACCTATTAATTAAAAACGTACAGATTGTTAATATTATACCGAATAACCACTGTTTATAATTTCAGGCACCTTATGTTTTCATGACGGACGACTCAGTGACCGACGTCTCGTGATGTGGTCGTAGGTCTCAGCCGACGCGGTGTATGGGTGATGTGGAGGTCTGGTGATAAGGACATTGGATTTGTGATAAAAAATAGTGATAATGATATTGGATTTATGATAAAGATAGTGGTTTTATGATAAAAAAAATAGTGATAAGGATAGTGGATTTGTGATAAGGATGTTATATTGGTGGATGTTAGATAGTGGATTAGGTTACCAGTGGATAAGTTAACCGGATAGCTGTCAAAATTTTTTACTTATGTTAATCACGTAAAAAAATTCAAATATCACATAGCCGCTGCCCGCTGCGATTTTTTTGGGGTCTAGCAGGTCAGTCACGTTCCTCGACCTTGGTCGTAGTCACCCTTAAAGCCAATCCGACAATATACGACGGCTGGGCCTCGTCATCACGTGTGCTATCCGACTGCGTCGAATCGCGGACGACATTCATAACTGTTACCGAAAACGCAAAATTAAAGAATAAATTACGTGGAGAATATTCTAAATATTTCTGGCGTCCATAAAAATCTTATAGCAACCGTCTGTTTTTTTGGAGTCTAGCAGGTCACACATCTATGTTATCCAGGTAGGCATTCCGACTCGATGTTGGACGTAGTCACCCGGGTAGACAACGTGACGACCGGTTCGTGTCATCAGGATCAGCTATATAATTTACGTGAATATATGTTTTGGGGTCTAGCAGGTCAGTCACCTCCTCGAAGTTGGTCGTATTTTTGTGGGTGTCTAGCAGGTCAGTCACCTCGAAATGATGTTCGCCGTAGTAATAGCGGACAATGTGTGACGGCCGCGGGTCACGTCATCAGGTATGCGATCCGACTGCGTCGAATCGCGGACACCGTTCATTACTGTCACCGAAAACGCAAAATTAACTAAATATCTGATCTGGTCGTTGTTCTCGAGCCGGTCAGTGTGTGATAAGGGTTAGGATCACCGCGGTTCGACGTGGTAGCCCGTATAAGCAACAATGTTCGCCGACAACGTTCTTCAATGCCGCCGGAAATTCAAAATCCCGTAAAGAAGTCATATAGCTAAAACGATTTTTTTTCCAGTCTAGCAGGTCAGTCAACTCGAATGACGTCCTCCTTAGTAATACGGCTAGGATATCCGACAATGTGCGACGGCCGAGTTTTATAGCCGCCTTTTTGTTTGGGTGTCAAGTGGGTCAGTCGCCTTCCTCGACGTTACTGCACATAGGACATGAATCATAACGCAGAACCTACACATGATTATGAAAATCTAATATAGTAAAATATATAACAAATAATATAGTCTTTGTATTTTTGTGGGTGCAAGGTCAGTCACCTCGAATGACGTTCGGCGTAGTTATAGTATTTGGGGTCTTTCGTGAAGAAAATTCAAAATATTTCGCTTGTCCATTCAAATCATATAGCCACCGTCTGATTTTGGTGTCTAACAGGTCACCCATCTATGTTATCCGGGTAGGCAACGTGCGGCCGGGACAGCGTCCATTACAGTAACCGACAACGCAAAATTAAGTTATGAATTATGTGAAAAAAATTCAAAACATTTCGTAAGCAATCCGACTACCGAGTCATCTTCCTCGACGTAATTACGTGAAAATATGTTTTGGGGTCTAGCAGGATCTAGGGTCTAGCGTCGAATAGCGGACAACGTGTGACTTCTGTCGCAATATTAAGTAATAGGTCACGTGCAAAAAAATTGGTATATGTTTTGGTGTCTAGCAGGTCAGTCACCTTCCTCGACGTTGCACGTAGCAACCCTGGTAGGCAATATGACTTTGTCGGATAGTGCAACGTCCGGGTCAAGGCATTGTAATGGGATTACGCAATATCATGTATTTGCTCATAATAACAACCAGAATTGGGATTACGCAATATCATATATTTGCTCATAAAAACAACCAGGAATGCGACCACACCCAAAAGTGTTTTCGACTAAAGAATACCACTTTCATAGTCGTGAGGTCCATATCAAGGACGACTGTACACGCGCCGCTCACTTCAAAGGACGCCGCCACCATATATATAGGGGACAGCGAGACAGCTTAACTAGATGTACCAGAGCCGCCAAGATCGAGCGAGCCGCTTAGCCACCAGCCATTACACACGACTTACATGGAGATTATCGACTACTACAACGAGTCAACTCACGACGCTGCAATTCACCACGACTATATTAATTATTATTGGTTTTAATAAATTACAATTGATTTATATTTAAATTGTCTACATTTTATTGTAAAAGTGCAACAAGCTTTTGGATCCCTGAAGGGCCGCATGTAACAGCATGAAAACGCCAAATGACGTAAATCAAATGTATATAAATAATAACATTTCGGGCGCCCGTGCTAGTCCTAATATAGTCGCCGTGATTTGTTGAGTGTCTAGCGAGTCGGGCGGCCACGTTTAATAGTTTTTGTCGTTTATAGTAGGTAGTAGAGCGATTTAGAAGCGAAACTCGATAAGCTGATTGGGATTTTGTTTCCCCATGATCCTCCGAAAAACACGAAAACGTGTATTTATATGACGAAAAAAAAAAATCGAACTTTTCGTCGCATATTCTCATTTCCGTTTATAGTAATAACGACACTGTCCGCTCTCCGATCTCCTCCGCGGCACTCGACTCGAGCGAAGTATTGACGCGGGCTCGACCGGCTATTCGACGGTGAAACGCACTTATTACTATACTCGTATTCTAAAACATAAATGTGTAGTAACGATGTGACAGACCTATAATATGATGACTGTCACAGAACCTTATGTTTTGAAAGACCAATGGATAGGTTAGTGTAAAAAGATGAACAATTTTAATTTAACTGACGAAGAGACAACCAATTTAGACAGACATACCGGAAGAAGGAATGGTTCAATATACATATATTGTATACGCATAAACGCACAGTGATCCTTTGGACAGTAGTGGAAAAAGATCGTGATGTTGACTGGCTTGGACGTTGTACATGAGTCTTCTCCTGAAATTTACTGTCGTGGACCATGTGTATCTCCGGAATAGACACTGGCGACGAGTCGATGCTCTGTGGCCCTTATATAATGTGATTTTGGTTGATCCCTTCTTCTTGTGCATCGAATAAAGTATTGATATATTTTTATTATTTCGTGTGGTGCGACAGACCATAACCTGTTTGTAATGTATGTAACGTCCATTTGGTAAGAAGAGTGTTACAGTCGGACTATTAATCACCAAACAAATTTCGATTATTGTGTTATTAGAATGCAAGTTAACGAAAAAAATTATTACATTAAATTTAGAGCAATGGTGTACGCTCATGTCTGAATCTAATTACATTTCAATTACTAACAACTTACATACCAGGTGTAAACGTGTAAGAATCACTGAGAACTTTACATATTCAATTAATGTGAAGCAGAGTTCAATAACCTTGTATATAAATGATGATTATATTACACTCTCACATATAGATTTCTGTAGACTTAAACAACTTCAGCATTGTGTAAACCTTTATATCATAGAAAAACAGAAACGTCTTCACAGTTTTCAAACAACATTTGATACGGCTTATGAACTGATTAAAAACGATGTCCAAGGTTTACCCATCAGCTGCCAGAGGAACGAATTCACAAACCAGTATATTCAAAACTATGATTTTAATTGTTATTCTCATCTACTAAACGATGACACTTCATTTTTGTATGAAATATTACAATTTCATTTTAACGAAATGTCTGACATGATTTTACAGGACTTAATAGTATGATATAATACAAATTCATTTATATTTATGTAACGTTTATTTATCAAGTAAAAAATATTTTTATAATATTACACCCATCATACTAAATTGTTTTTTATTGTTCGACGTTCAGGATCTTTTAAAATCATGTCGAATATGACCTGCATGGTCTCATTCAAACTCGTATTTATAGTCTGGTCTTTTGATTTGTCTGAAGTCGTTATCTTGACAGATGCCTCAGAGTGACGCCACCTGCAACATAAATTAATTATTCAATTAACTGAACAGTGAATAGAAGCAGATTATTATTATTATTTTTTTTTTTTTCATTATAACAATAGGTTTTTAATTAAAAAAGTAAACCAAAGTATATTATTTACCTCTCCTTTTGAGGAACATTTTTAATGTTTTTACACTTGTAGTGTGTTATTGTCCAGTAGTCGGTTCCCATCTCTTCTAGATTAAACCGACTTTTAATGGTAGCCAAACCATCTCCCTGTCGGAAAGTAACTGTATTGAAGATTTCTTCATCGTAATCTTCCGCCCGTAATTTATCCTCTAAGATTTCTCTGTAAGATGAACTCTTAAAAAAAATAAAAAAAAATAAATTCATGCTATAATTGATCACCTTAGAATATTAAATAAAAGTATTAAGATGATAACTTATTATTTATCTTACTGTTTTTGTCTGCTTAATCTTTTTATTATTTTTTTTGTCAATCGCTTTTTCAGCTCCTCTTTTGTGAGCTGTCTTAGTTTGTTTTGAAGTCGAAGGCTTCATTTTCATGTCGAATCCTTCAAAGTCGTTCTATAAAATAAACTTATAGTATTAAATTTAATATATTGATAGATTGTTTTTTTATAAATGTATGAGTGGTTTACCACAGAATTGCATGACTGAGAATTGAATCCATCGAACGGTATGTCAGTCGGTGCAATGCCAGAATACTCCAACTATTACCCCATTAACTGAGACGAATGTATGATCAGTGCAATGCCGGAATACTCTAACTATTACACTATTGTCATATAAATACCGTCCGATAGATTCTGGTGTCGAGATTTTAGTAGTTATTTTAGTGTTGAGTAGTTTTACAACTGGTCTCCAATTAGCTTAAGTTATTAAAGTAATTCATTTACTAACCTCTGATCCAGAATCAGCAGTAGAAGTTCTGTACGACATCTTGAAACTGAATTGTTGAATTAATGAAGAAGAAGTTGCTGGATGCTGACTCGACTGTGATATTGCTGTTGATACGCTAGCCTTATATACTGTGATGTTTCCACTACTATAGT